AGCCAACAGTAACAGAGATGTTCTACTTCACGACAAACAGCTGAAGTTACAGAACAGCCAACAGTAACAGAGATGTTCTACTTCACGACAAACAGCTGAAGTTACAGAACAGCCAACAGTAACAGAGATGTTCTACTTCACGACAAACAGCTGAAGTTACAGAACAGCCAACAGTAACAGAGATGTTCTACTTTATTTATTTACTTATGTAACCATCTCTCTGATTCACTGACATTAAATACATGAATACATGACCACCTGAGCAGAGAGACTAGAGAAGCAGAAATGAAGTAGAAAACTAATCTTGGCTACTAACCTAATCTCTAACACCCTGGCTCAACATACGAGAGTCCCCCGAGCCAGGGCGTGACACCTAATCTCTAAATTATTTTCAACAAGCAGCTGTTGGCTACTAATCTTGTGACCTGACCAAGAAAAACTCCTGGCCCTAACTAGAGGATAATATATTGATCCACAGCCCTAACTAGAGGATCACTCCTCACCCCTCAACCCACCTATTCCTCACCTGTCACCCACACCTCACTGTGTCCCAAATGGCACCCTATTCCCTACCTATTGGCCCTGGTCAAAAGTAGTGCACTATATAGGGAGTAGGGTGCACTTGAAGAGGAGACAAAAGAAGACACTGGTCTTTACTTTAGACAGAGAGCGGGAAAACCGCTGCAGAGCTGGAATGTGGAATGTCCGACGAGGAAGTTCACTTCAGGATGAGAGGGAACAGGGAAGTCTGCAATGACATCCTATGTACTACTTCTGACCAGAGCCACTATGTAGGGAATAGGGTACGAGAGCCAAAGGGCACTATGAAGTGAATAGGGTACGAGAGCCAAAGGGCACTATGAAGTGAATAGGGTACGAGAGCCAAAGGGCACTATGAAGTGAATAGGGTGTCATTTCGAATGTGACCTCGGGCCCTGTGACCTCGGGCCCTGTGACCTCGGGCCCTGTGACCTCGGGCCCTGTGCCACTGCACTGGACTGTGGACTGTGGCACTTGCAACTCCAGGATTGTTGGTTCAACTCCTGCTGTGACCACCCCATACAACAATATATCACACGTAGCTTTGGATAAAAGTGTCTGCTAAATAAGGAGGCTTCCTTCCTTCTGTTGGTGTGAGGCATTATGGGTAATGAGTTTAGAGTTTAAAGGAGTGGCAACATGCTGCTGTTTCCAGGGCGACGGAGGGAGAGTCATGAGAGGTACGGATGTTCCAACATACATTAGAGTTTGTCACGGTAAACCCAAACTTGGTTCGGTACGAGAGTTTTTGTTACTTTCCGTACTTCTATCAAATGTGTCTCACGTCGTCTACTGATTGAGAGAGGATCAAGGTCTGTCTACCAGCACAGCCGATGTCCCCTTACAGCGCGAGGGAACCGTGCCTGGCTCACTTAGTCATACTGGCTCTAGTCTGTCCTGAGGAACCACCGAACTCACTGGGAGTCTGGTCTACATCATGTTAGCTCCCCACTCACTGGGAGTCTGGTCTGCATCATGTTAGCTCCCCACTCACTGGGAGTCTGGTCTGCATCATGTTACCTCCCCACTCACTGGGAGTCTGGTCTGCATCATGTTAGCTCCCCACTCACTGGGAGTCTGGTCTACATCATGTTAGCTCCCCACTCACTGGGAGTCTGGTCTACATCATGTTAGCTCCCCACTCACTGGGAGTCTGGTCTGCATCATGTTAGCTCCCCACTCACTGGGAGTCTGGTCTGCATCATGTTAGCTCCCCACTCACTGGCAGTCTGGTCTACATCATGTTAGCTTCCCACTCACTGGGAGTCTGGTCTACATCATGTTAGCTCCCCACTCACTGGGAGTCTGGTCTACATCATGTTAGCTCCCCACTCACTGGCAGTCTGGTCTGCATCATGTTAGCCACCCATTCATGATGCACTGAAATTAACACACTTGAATAATGCAATACCAGACTATGTAGAAATGTTGAAACTGTTCATTACTGTTCGCAAAACACTTTACAATGCAAGATTACAGATACCGGTATCTTCCAGTTTTGTAGGCTAACTTTCCTTGCTAGCCTACAAATGAAGCAAGCATCAATTCATAATGCAAAATCAGCTGATGTCAAAGCTGATTGTCACCATAAACCATAGCTAGTTGTTACCATAAACCATAGCTAGTTGTTGACCAAAACTATAGCTAGTTGTCACCATAAACCTAGGACACATCTGTCTAACCAAAGTAGCTATATTATCAGAGTTGACTAGGACACATCTGTCTAACCAAAGTAGCTATATTATCAGAGTTGACTAGGACACATCTGTCTAACCAAAGTAGCTATATTATCAGAGTTGACTAGGACACATCTGTCTAACCAAAGTAGCTATATTATCAGAGTTGACTAGGACACATCTGTCTAACCAAAGTAGCTATATTATCAGAGTTGACTAGGACACATCTGTCTAACCAAAGTAGCTATATTATCAGAGTTGACTAGGACACATCTGTCTAACCAAAGTAGCTATATTATCAGAGTTGACTAGGACACATCTGTCTAACCAAAGTAGCTATATTATCAGAGTTGACTAGGACACATCTGTCTAACCACGGTATATATTATCAGAGTTGACTAATAATAATAATAAATAATAGTTATATAATAATTTCCTGGACATATTGCACAACTACACCTGTTGCTTTGCTATGTCAACTCGACCTTCTCTGCGTTCAACAATCCATCAACCACCTCCATCCCTGGTAAACACGTCTTAATAACACGTTAATAAACGCTTCTTAATAATGTCTAAATAACATGTTTAACCTGCTCTGTTTCTATAAGAGGAGATATACTGTGTAAACAAGCAGTAGGTTGTTGTGCACAGGCTGCAGCGTTCAAACAGAGATATTGGTATTTGAGGAACCTCCTTGGCACTGAAGTGATACATGAATGTACAATATCCTTCCATCTAGTGGATGTACCTGGTATACACATGCACATTGATCGGACTATGAAAAATACTCCTAAGAATAAACACTGAGAGTCCCAGAATTCACTTAATACAGTACTGTATTTCAGTAGCTAAATGGAACCTTTTCCCTACTCTCACCGCTCTCTCGAGCGTAGAGAAGTCGGAGAGAGAGAGAAGCGATGAAGAGAGAGACGAGAGAGAGATCGAACGCAGGGAGAAGAGAGGGGGATAGAGCTCTAGGCGTCTCTGGACACTCTCTCCTCTTCCTCTCTCTCGATCTGCAGAGAGAGAGAAAAGCGAGAGAGAGCGGAGAGGGAGAGAGAGGAGACGGGAGGAGCGCTCGGCTCTCGTCTCTCTCTCTCTCTCTCTCTCTCTCTCTCTCTCTCTCTCTCTCTCTCTCTCTCTCTCTCTCTCTCTCTCTCACTCTCTCCAAACCCAAACAACCAGATATTGAGGTGACTCATGGTCCAGTTCGTTCTTTATTTTTTTGGATTTAGTGCCAGATGACATTCCTCTCTTCCTCCCACCACTATTTCACACTCCCCCTCTCCATCATTCCCTCTCTCTCTCTCCCTCTCTCCATTTTCCCATCACCCCAAAGGGTCCTGGGAAAGCTGTGATATCATCAGCAGCCCCTCTCGGAAACCCACTCAGCAGCCAATGAGCATCTAGAGCCAGGACAGGCATTTCCTGCCCTAACTCATCCTATCTTTAAATATGTGACATCTAACTGTTATTAAGCTTGGCTTGGCTATAATATCCTACTCACAGTCTGTCTACAGGGATTACACAAGTATAAGATAATACATAGTCCTCTAACTTATTCATTAAGGATTTTTGAATTTTTTTGATGTATGTCTCTTTATGATAGGCCTAGAATTCCCTTCTTCGTTTCTTGGAGGCGGGGTATGCGGAGGCTGCGGCGTCGAGGTCGAGGCGGGCGGCGGAGGGTCGGCGGGAGCGAGAGGGGAGGAGGCGGACGAGAATGCGGACGGAGGAGGAGGGGCTAGCGGGTGAGGGGGTCGTCTTCGTGTCTAGGCTACTTCTGTCTTCTCTCTTTCTATCTCTTCTACTTTCTTACTGCTTCTTCTTCTTCTTCTTTCTGCTTCTTCTTATCTTCTTTTCTTCTCTTCTTCTTCTTCTTCTTCTTCTTCTTCTTCTTCTCTTTCTTCTTTCTTATTCTTCCATCTCTGAAGAGGATGAATCTGTTCAGTGACATAGCATCATGCCTTTATGTTCAGTGACATAGCATCATGCCTTTATGTTCAGTGACATAGCATCATGCCTTTATGTTCAGTGGCATAGCATCATGCCTTTATGTTCAGTGGCATAGCATCATGCCTTTATGGATGAGAACCATCTCTGAAAAGGATGATGTGTTCAGCAACATAGTGTCATGCCTACAGTGTCTCAGTGCTGTATTTAAAAACAAAAATCCCATCATAATTTGGTTGAAAAGATCCAAACAAGAGCCCATGGACACCCTCATCTCTCTTCTCTCCAATAGAAGTGATGCTCCATAAAGGGATGGACTTGGCACCTGGAAATAGCTCCAGCCCACTTGTCATTTAACGTCCATCAGGTATTTGAAAATGTGCGCATTACATTGGCAAAGCAGGCTGACGATTTAATTACACAGAATGTAATGTGACAAACGGTTTGGGAATTCAAAAACGTATTTTCTTTCCGACTTCTTCCTGGATTTGTTGCTTTGGGTGAATGTTTACTTTAGGACCTCATCCTTACCTGGTAATGATCACCTGACTACAGCTTATTACCTGCTGTAGAAAGGATTGCAAAGCATAAAGTTGGATATTGGAAACATTGTTCATCACATTTAAATTTGTTTCCATAAGCACCAATTAAAGTTAAAATCTGCAACATCTTCTTACATTTAAAATAAATCAAGCAATGGCAAAAATAAATCTATATCACAATTTTCTGCATACAGTAAATGTTTCATAATTCACCCACAGACATTACATGCATAGAAAGACTGGGGCACGGAGTATATAAAGGACCATTGTTTTATTTGATTAATGACATTTAAGAGTGATGATGGGGTAGATCCTCATTAAGGATCTCTGAGCACAGAAGGTCCTCTGGAGCGTAGTGGTCCTCTGGAGCGTAGTGGTCCTCTTGAAGAGTGGTGTGATGGGTCAGATCTGGAGCGTAGTGGTCCTCTTGAAGAGTGGTGTGATGGGTCAGATCTGGAGCGTAGTGGTCCTCTTGAAGAGTGGTGTGATGGGTCAGATCTGGAGCGTAGTGGTCCTCTTGAAGAGTGGTGTGATGGGTCAGATCTGGAGCGTAGTGGTCCTCTTGAAGAGTGGTGTGATGGGTCAGATCTGGAGCGTAGTGGTCCTCTTGAAGAGTGGTGTGATGGGTCAGATCTGGAGCGTTGTGGTCCTCTTGAAGAGTGGTGTGATGGGTCAGATCTGGAGCGTAGTGGTCCTCTTGAAGAGTGGTGTGATGGGTCAGATTTGCAGTGAAGAGAATCAGCACATTACAATTATCAACTTTAAAGAAAGCCCAGCCAGAGCTTGGACTTGAACCCGATCATTACTTTAACTTTAAAAGAAACATTCCTGTAGAAACTTTGTGGACATTGGGCTAAATGTATTTCCATGGTACTAATTGAAGACGTTAGTGCAGTTATAGCTTAGAGATGTCTTCAAAAAAGAGCAGCTTGCTCATATACTTTGCGTCCTCCACCACGGCGGTCAGGGGCATATTTTAGGACTTTCCAGAGGGCCAGCAACACATCAACCTCCTTTCTGGCCCTAACCCTTTCTGGCCCTAACCCTTTCTGGCCCTAACCCTTTCTGGCCCTAACCATTTCTGGCCCTAACCCTTTCTGGCCCTAACCCTTTCTGGCCCTAACCCTTTCTGGCCCTAACCCTTTCTGGCCCTAACCCTTTCTGGCCCTAACCCTTTCTGGCCCTAACCCTTTCTGGCTCCTTTCTGGCCCTAACCCTTTCTGGCCCTAACCCTTTCTGGCCCTAACCCTTTACATGACACTTACTGTAAACATAAAAAGAGAAGAAAATAAATGAACGACTGGCATAATGTGGGCATTTAACACATGGTAAAATATCTTTAACAGTCAGAATCTACTAAAAATGTCTCATTGTCCATGTCAAATGTCTCAACTGCTCACATTTACTTACCAACTACAATGGAGCACACACGAGTGGTATCAAAGGCTCCATAATCCTAAAGACATTGTCTCTGACACATGTTTCCCCAATTGAGGACAGCTTGGCAGTCTTAAAGAAAGGAACAAATTAAAGTACGTGTAAAGATATGATATTTTTGAAAAGCAATTTATCTGTCATCATTCCTGCAACAAACATTGTTAGAAATGGGCAACTCTCTTCCTCTTTTCTGCAACTGAATGAGTGAGCAACAGAGAAAGGGGAGAAACTTGACTCACATGAAGGAGGTGTCTGTTTTAATCAGGACACATGAAGGAGGTGTCTGTTTTAATCAGGACACATGAAGGAGGTGTCTGTTTTAATCAGGACACATGAAGGAGGTGTCTGTTTTAATCAGGACACATGAAGGAGGTGTCTGTTTTAATCAGGACACATGAAGGAGGTGTCTGTTTTAATCAGGACACATGAAGGAGGTGTCTGTTTTAATCAGGACACATGAAGGAGGTGTCTGTTTTAATCAGGACACATGAAGGAGGTGTCTGTTGAATCAGGACACAGTGGTTTTCACCTGGGAAAAAAAGGAGAGTTAAAATAGGATTTTATTTGCTTTACAAACTTACAGTGCATTCAGAAAGTATTCAAACCCCTTCCCTTTTTCCACATTTTGTTACGTTACAGCCTTATTCTAAAATGGATTAAATTCATTTTTTTGCCTCATCAATCTACACACAGTACCCCATAATGACAAAGCGAAAACAGGTTTGTAGAAAAGTTTTGCAAAAATATTTTAAAAAAAAAACAGATATACCTTATATACATAGGTATTCAGACCCTTTGCTATGAGACTCAAAATTGAGCTCAGGTGCTTCCTGTTTCCATTCATCATCCTTGAGATGTTTCTACAACTTGATTGGAGTCCACCTGCGGTAAAATTCAATTGATTGGACATGATTGGGAAAGGCACACACCTGTCTATATAAGGTCCTACAGTTGACAGTGCATGTCAGAGCAAAAACCAAGCCATGAGGTCGAAGGAATTGTCCGTAGAGCTCAAAGACAGGATTGTGTCGAGGCACAGATCTGGGGAATGGTATCAAAAAGATTTCTGCAGCATTGAAGGTCCCCAAGAACACAGTGGCCTCCATCATTCATAAATGGAAGAAGTTTGGAACCACCAAGACTCTTCCTAGAGCTGGCCGTCTGGCCAAAATGAGCAATCGGGGGAGAAGGGCCTTGGTCAGGGAGGTGACCAAGAACCTGATGGTCGCTCTGACAGAGCTCCAGAGTTGTTCTGTGGAGATGGGAGAACCTTCCAGAAGGACAACCATCTCTGCAGCACTCCACCAATCAGGCCTTTATGGTAGAGTGGCCAGACGGAAGCCACTCATCAGTAAAAGGCACATGACAGCCCGCTTGAAGTTTGCCAAAAGGCACCTAAATGACTCTCAGACCATGAGAAACAAGATTCCCTGTTCTGATGAAACCAAGATTTAACTCTTTGGCCTGAATGCCAAGCGTCATGTCTGGAGGAAACCTGGCACCATCCCTACGGTGAAGCATGGTGGTGGCAGCATCATGCTGTGGGGATGTTTTTCAGCGGCAGGGACTCAGAGACTAGTCAGGATCGAGGGAAAGATGAACGGAGCAAAGTACAGAGAGATCCTTGATGAAAACCTGCTCCAGAGCGTTCAGGACCTCAGACTGGGGCGAAGGTTCACCTTCCAACAGGACAATGACCCTAAGCACACAGCCAAGACAACGCAGGAGTGGCTTCGGGACAAGTCTCTGAATGTCCTTGAGTGGCCCGGCCAGAGCCCGGACTTGAACCCGATCAAACATCTCTGGAGAGACCTGGAAATAGCTGTGCAGCGACGCTCCCCATACAACCTGACAGAGCTTGAGAGGATCTGCAGAGAAGAATGGGAGAAACTCCCCAAAAACAATCGAGGCTGTAATCGCTGCCAAAGGTGCTTCAACAAAGTGCTGAGTAAAGGGTCCGAATACTTATGTAAATGTGATATTTAAGTTTTTTATTCATAGTACATTTGCAAAAATGTCTAAAAACCTGTTTTTGCTTAGTCATTATGGGGTATTGTGGGTAGATTGATGGGGGGGGGGGTGGGGGACGACGACAATGTAATATATTTTAGATTAAGGCTGTAACGTAACAAAATGTGGAAAAAGTCAAGGGGTCTAAATACTTTCCGAATGCACTGTATATTATTAGAAGCGGTGCTATTTCAATTGGATCTACTTACGCTAAGGTCAGGCAGTTATGGGCTGCTGAATAGCATCTCCTGGGGAATCCAGTCTCAGTGATGCAGAGAAAAAACTTCAATGATCATCAGCATAGCTAGTACAAACCCAGCTCCTACCCAGTAGGAATAAATACACATTGAAGATCAGAGTATCAAATAGGAAAATAAGAACATTCTGCACAAAACTTACTGTCAATGACTATGGATTTAAGGAGGGGTGGCTCTCTCCTTTCCATGGGATTTAATGTGGCAGAATAGGTCTGGTAACTGAGACAGCCAAGCACTGCTGTAGAGGCCATGCATCAGGTTATTTACAGTAAAGAGAGACGAACCATGATTTGACACACAGCTCTACATTTCGATGAAACATGGTGAAGCCCCAAAATGGTCTACCCTGGAAGCCTGTGTTTCAGACATAAGGAAGTGGATGGCGGCAAATGTTTTACTTTCAAACTCGGACAAAACAGAGATGCTAGTTCTAGGTCCCAAGAAACAAAGAGATCTGCTGTTGGATCTGACAATTAATCTTGATGGTTGTAGAGTCGTCTAAAAAAAAACTGTTAAGGACCTCGGTGTTACTCTGGACCCTGATCTCTCTTTTGACGAACATATCAAGAATATTTCAAGGACAGCTTTTTTCAAGGACATCTTCATAACATTGCAAAAATCTGAAACTTGTTGTCCAAAAATGATGCAGAAAAGCTAATCCATGCTTTTGTCACTTCTAGATTAGACTACTGCAATGCTCTACTCTCCGGCTTCCCGGATAAAGCACAAAATAAACGTCAGTTAGTGCTAAACACGGCTGCTAGAATCTTGACTAGAACCAAAAAATGTGATCATATTACCCCACTGCTAGCCTCTCTACACTGGCTTCCTGTTAAGGCTAGGGCTGATTTCAAGGTTTTACTGTTAACCTACAAAGCATTACATGGGCTTGCTCCTACCTATCTCTCTGATTTGGTCCTGCCGTACATGCCAACATGTACGCTACGGTCACAAGACGCAGGCCTCCTTATTGTCCCTAGAATTTCTAAGCAAACAGCTGGAGGCAGAGCTTTCTCCTATAGAGCTCAATTTTTATGGAATGGTCTGCCTATCCATGTGAGAGACGCAGACTCGGTCTCGACCTTTAAGTCTTTACTGAGGACTCATCTCTTCAGTAGGTCCTATGATTGAGTGTAGTCTGGCCCAGTGGTGTGAAGGTGAACGGAAAGGCACTGGAGCGACAAACCGCCCTTGCTGTCTCTGCCTGGCCGGTTCCTGTCTCTCCATTGGGATTCTCTGCCTCTGACCCCATTACGGGGGCTGAGTCACTGGCTTACTGGTGCTTTCCATGCCGTCCCTAAGAGGGGTTGAGTGGGTTGAGTCACAGACATGATCTTCCTGTCCAGTTTGTCGCCCCCACGGGCTCGTGCAGTGGAGGAGATATTCGTGGGCTATACTCAGCCTTGTCTCAGGGTAGTAGGTTGGTGGTCTGTTGATATCCTTCTGGTGGTGTGGGGGCTGTGCTTTGGCAAAGTGGGTGGGGTTATATCCTGCCTGGTTGGCCCTGTCCAGGGGGTATTGTGGGACGGGGCCACAGTGTCGCCTGACCCCCCCCCGTCCCCCGTCCCCCCCGTCTCAGCCTCCAGTATCTATGCTGCAATAGTCTATGTGCCGGGGGGCTAGGGTCAGTCTGTTATATCTGGTGTTATTCTCCTGTCTTATCTGGTGTCCTGTGTGAATTTAAGTACGCTCCCTCTAATTCTCTCTCTCTCCCTCCCCTCCCAGAGGACCTGAGCTCTAGGACCATGCCTCAGGACTACCTGGCCTGATGACTCCTGGCTGTCCCCAGTCCACCTGGTCGTGCTGCTGCTCCAGTTTCAACTCTTCTGCCTGCGGCTATGGAACCCTGACCGGACGTGCTACCTTGTCCCAGACCTGCTGTTTTCACCTCTCTCTCTCTACCGCACCTGCTATTTCAACCTCTAAATGCCCGGCTATGAAAAGCCAAGTGACATTTACTCCTGATGTACTGACCTGTTGCAACCTCTACAACCACTGTGATTATTATTTGACCCTGCTGGTCATCTATGAACGTTTGAACATCTTGGAGAACAATCTGGCCTTAATGGCCATGTACTGTTATAATCTCCACCCGGCACAGCCAGAAGAGGACTGGCCACCCCTCAGAGCCTGGTTCCTCTCTAGGTTTCTTCCTAGGTTTCTGCCTTTCTAGAGAGTTTTTCCTAGCCACCGTGCTTCTACATCTGCATTGCTGCTGTTTGGGGTTTTAGGCTGGGTTTCTGTATAGCACTTTGTGACATCTGCTGATGTAAAAAGGGCTTTATAAATACATGTGATTGATTGAGTAGCCCTGCCTGTGACTTAAAACCACCCTTGGCCAAAGACTAAATATATTTTTGGGTCCAATAGTTCACACGTTTGGTTCCGGAGCGTTACCAGTAATGGCTACTGAAGCCACTCTGTAATGCCCATATCAGGAGCAGATTCAGACTACAGCTGTAATGCCCATATCAGGAGCAGATTCAGACTACAGCTGTAATGCCCATATCAGGAGCAGATTCAGACTACAGCTGTAATGCCCATATCAGGAGCAGATTCAGACTACAGCTGTAATGCCCATATCAGGAGCAAATTCAGACTACAGCTGTAATGCCCATATCAGGAGCAGATTCAGACTACAGCTGTAATGCCCATATCAGGAGCAGATTCAGACTACAGCTGTAGCTGGGGAAATATGGCAGCCATTAGGTTGGAATAGTTCACAATTGCTGTGGACAAGCTGTGTTTCAGTCAGAACTATGCCTGGCACACAGTGTTTGACTTTCAACCTGTTTCATGAACAATGGTATGACACACTAGATTTTCTAATTCCAGCTGAAGATGTTCTGCAAATGGAACAAATTAAATGCCATGACACAGTTTAGTATACAACCAAATCAGTGGCCTTGTGGTTAGAGCCCTGAGATTGGAAGGTTGGTAGTTCGATTTCCAGCCGAGTCATACCAAAGAAAGTAAAAATGGGACCTGATACGTCTCTGCTTGGAGCAGAGCATTAAGGAGATCGATTGGGGGGCAAAGCCCTCCGACAGACTAGTGTCCGGTCCACTTGTAGAATCCAGCAGTCCACTACAGGAGCTAAGCTCCTACGAGCTGTTCCATCATGCAATGCTACTTGTTTAGACTGTTGATCTGAGGCAGTATCAGGTGAAGATCATCATTCAAAATAATAATTATTGGGTCAGTGCAGCCAAACATAACAACAGACAATATACACAATATCCAAAAGAGATTAGTTAAAAAGCCCTGGAACTAACCAGCCTGACCTGTATTCAAGTGTGTGATTTGAAAAAATAAAAAAATATTTAACCTTTGTTTAACCAGGTAAGCCAGTTGAGAACAAGTTCTCATTTACAACTGCGACCTGGCCAAGATAAAGCAAAGCATTGCGATTAAAAACAACAACACAGAGTTACATATGGGGGTAAAACAAAACATAAAGTAAAAAATACAACAGAAAAGATATATACAGTGTGTGCGAATGTAGTAAATTATGGAGGTAAGGCAATAAATAGGCCATAGTGCAAAATAATGTTACAATTTCGTATTAGATCAACCAATGGCAGCCATGTTAGGAGATGTACATAAAATAAAGTATATCATCTAGCCTAATTGGGGTCAAAGGCATTTTGGCGCCCCCAAATGCCTCTTTTCGGGTTACATGAATCTACCTCTGTGCCACATTTGGTGTGTTTATCTCAAAAAAGGCAACTAACATTACATTACCAACAGTGGTCGTTGTGTAAGATGCCATGGCCCCCAGGGGACAAATCTGTGGTGACGCCATATCTGATACTTTTCAGGGTCCATAAATCTAAATCTGTGTCAGATTTGGTGATTTTATCACAAAATGCACAATTGTTTTGCTTAGCTGCCCCGCTAGCTCACATGATGACCTGATAACCAAGTTTGGCCTGTGAGAACAGTTACCACAGCCTGGCTATATCGTAAAAACGAATTAAAACAAAAATTAAGGTTAGTATTAGGCATAATGTTAGCAGTGTGGTTAAGATTTTAAGAATATAATTGTAGAAATAGGCGGGGTTTATGACTTTATGGCTGTGGTAACAACTGGCATCTTCATTAGTGGAACAGCTCAGCTGTCACGCCCTGACTCAGGGGACTCGTATATGTTGAGTCAGGGTGTGTAGTTTCTATGTTGTGTATTTCTATGTTGTAGTTCTAGTATGTCTAGATCTATGTTGGCCGGTGTGGTTCCCAATCAGAGGCAGCTGTCGCTCGTTGTCTCTGATTGGGGATCATACTTAGGCAGCCTATTGGCACTAGTGGGTTGTGGGATCTTGTTCCGTGTGAGGTATGTTGTTTGTGTCTACCTTGGACTTCACGTTTCGTTTAGTTTGTTGTTTTGTCGTTGTGTTTATTCGGTTCACATAAACATGTATGCATATCACGCTGCGCCTTGGTCTGACCCGTTCATCAACGATCGTGACATCAGCCCAACATCTGAGACCAAGACAACTGGCATCTTCATTAGTGGAACAGTTCAGCCCAACATCTGAGACCAAGACAACTGGCATCTTCATTAGTGGAACAGTTCAGCCAAACATCAAAGACCAAGACAACTGGCATCTTCATTAGGGGAACAGTTCAGCCCAACATCTGAGACCAAGACAACTGGCATCTTCATTAGTGGAACAGTTCAGCCAAACATCAAAGACCAAGACAACTGGCATCTTCATTAGGGGAACAGTTCAGCCCAACATCTGAGACCAAGGCAACTGGCATCTTCATTAGTGGAACAGTTTGGCCCAACATCTGAGACCAGGACAACTGGCATCTTCATTAGTGGAACAGTTTGGCCCAACATCTGAGACCAAGACAACTGGCATCTTCATTAGTGGAACAGTTCAGCCAAACATCAAAGACCAAGACAACTGGCATCTTCATTAGGGGAACAGTTCAGCCCAACATCTGAGACCAAGGCAACTGGCATCTTCATTAGTGGAACAGTTCAGCCCAACATTTGAGACCAAGACAACTGGCATCTTCATTAGGGGAACAGTTCAGCCAAACATCAAAGACCAAACAACTGGCATCTTCATTAGTGGAACAGTTCGGCCCAACATCTGAGACCAAGACAACTGGCATCTTCATTAGTGGAACAGTTCCCTTGCCTCAAGGATTCAGAGGGTAAAGGTTGTAAGTTAGATTTACATTTTTTAACTCACTGCATTATCTATCATGCATGAGCTCTGCTATTTCTACCGAAACAGAGCCCTTAAAGGTGTAATACTTTTTGGTTGGTTTTACCAAATCCTAGCCATTTTGAGCACAAAGGGTCTTTAAAAAAAATAACATACTTTTTATTTTGAAGGATGCTTGGTACACCCAAGGATGACGCCACCGTCCTTCTACTGGTTTCCTTGAGGAACGCCTCAGGAGCCTGAGGAAGCGGCGTCGGAGACCAGGACGGCTCAACTCTATAGCTGCAGCTGCCAAAGATGACATACACACACACACACACACACACACACACACACAGAGAGAGATATTGATAGGGGCAGATATTAACAGGGGCAGATATTACTAGACAGACAAGATTGTCTGTATTTGTTGTTACTGAGAGCTTTAATTGATTCTAATAGACGTATAATGATATTAAGCCACATGTTCATTTGATGGTTTCCTAGATGTTCTACAGTTGCAACTTCATTGATATACAGTACCAGTCAAAAGTTTGGACTCACCTACTCATTCAAGGGTTTTTCTTTATTTTTTAACATTTTCTACATTGTAGAATAATAGTGAAGACATCAAAACTATGAAATGACACATATGGAATCATGTAGTAACCAAAAAAGTCTGATGCAGCACTCCATCACTCTCCTTCTTGGTCAAATAGCCCTTACACAGCCTGGAGGTGTGTTGGGTCATTGTCCTGTTGAAAAACAAATTATGGTCCCACTAAGCGCAAACCAGATGGGATGGCGTATCGCTGCAGAATGTGATGTGGATTTTTACATTGATGTAATAATAATAATAATATGCCATTTAGCAGACGCTTTTATCCAAAGCGACTTACAGTCATGCGTGCATACATTTTTGTGTATGGGTGGTCCCGGGGATCGAACCCACTACCTTGGCGTAGGATATGGATATGGATTTTTTAGATTGGTACATCGCTGTTGCTAGGCAAGAACTTAATTAGTTCCTCTCACTAGGTTTGTGTGTGTGTGTGTGTAAAATGGGCATCAGACCTGTCACCGGGTCAAATTCTACAGTTGTCTTAATCTTATCTGTGACTGCAACCAGACTGTGACCCTGTGGCTCTCCTTGGGCAGATCCCTGGAACAAGCCGGGGTTGAACAGAGTTCAGGCTAAACCCTTTGTCTCTCCTTGGGGCGTCTTCTTCATTAATTATATGACTCAGTGGGAGAGAGGGGTTGGGCTTGGGTATGTTTGAGAGATTGATTGTGGACCTGCCATGTCCACAATCAATCTCAAGGTCAAGCCAGGGTGAGCCGGGGTAGAACAGAGTTCAAACTGAACATGATTATTTTTGCATGACAAAGCGTGGTTGGTCACACCACCATTGTTTCCAAACTGAATGCATAGAAGGAGAAGAAGTCAGATTTCGGCACTATCCTAAACTAGGGAAGTGGGCGGAGCGGTCGAGAGGTGGAAACTGGAGACAGTGGTGGTGGAACCAAAGAGGGAGGGGTTAAGCTAAAATGTATGTAAACTGGGAGGTGGAAAATCAGATGCTCTGCAGACCACCTCGGCTTTATCTAATCGAAATAAAGTCTATCTTAATTCTACAAAAACTTTGGAAATACTTATTTGATCAGTATAAGGACGAATTTTCCACATCAAATGCTGTGGTAGCCATGTTGGTTAAGTGTGCCTTGAATTCTAAATAAATCACAGACAGTGTCACCAGCAAAGCACCATAACACCACCTCCTCCATGCTTCACGGTGGGAACTACACATGCGGAGATCATCCATTCACCAACACCTTGGACTCCAGACCAAAGGACAAATTTCCACCGGTCTAATGTCCATTACTCGTGTTTCTTAGCCCAAGCAGGTCTCTTCTTATTATTGGTTTCTTTTAAATCAAATTAAATCAAATGAATTTTGTGTAGACCTTACAGTGAAATGTTTACTTACAAGCCCTTATCCAACAATATAGTTTTAAGAAAGAATACAAAAGAAAACAACACAAAAAAACACAATATAAAATAATACGAAATAAAAGTAACAAATAATTAAAGAGCAGCAGTAAAAATAGTGAGGCTTTATACAGGGGGTACCGGTACCGAGTCAATGTGTGGGGGCACCGGTTAGTCGAGGTAATTGGGGTAATATGTACATGTAGGTAGAGTTATTAAAGTGACTATGCATAGATAATAAACAGAGTAGCAGCAGCGTAAAAGAGGTGTGGGGGGGGGGGGGGGGGGGGGGGGGGGGGGGGGGGGGGGGGGGGGGGCAATGCAAATAGTCCGGGTAGCCATTTGATTAGATGTTCAGGAGTCTTATGTCTTGGGGGTAGAAGCTGTTTAGAAGCCTTTTGGACCTAGACTTGGTGCTCCGGTACCGCTTGCCGTGCGGTAGCAGAGAGAACAGTCTATGACTAGGGTGGCTGGAGTCTTTGACAATTTCTAGGGCCTTCCTCTGACTCCGCCTGGTATAGAGGTCCTGGATGGCAGGAAGCTTGGCCCCAGTGATGTACTGGGCCGTACGCACTACCCTCTGTAGTGCCTTGCGGTCGGAGGCCAAGCAGTTGCCTTACCAGGCAGTGATGCATCCAGTAACAAATAAAGAATAACCCTTGAATGAGCAGGTGTGTTCAAACTTTTGACTGTTAGTGTACACAACTCACTATATTTAGGGAAAGATGTATTTCCCTAGTGAAATGTTACTTGACATTAAATACTTTTAGCCCATAACAGAGTCAGATATGTCCCCTAAAGGAGACAGCCATCGAGAGGGCAAAGTGGATACGTGAAAACGGGTCCAAGACAACGGAGGAAATCTCCAATCACAGATGCTGTGTACTCCAGGCATGGTGGCTCATAGTAAGCACCCCAGCAACAGGGTTAAAGTCGAATCAGTTTCCGTACATGATCTAAAGTCTACTCATCAGGGTTTGGGTCAATTCCATTTAGATTCCAGTCAATTCAGAATGTAAACCCAATTCCAAATGGTCCTCATTGAAAAGCGCTGAAGAGAATTTGAATTTTAGTGTCCTGAATTGTCTGGAATTGGAATGGACCCCAACCCTGACACTCATACCTGTCAGTAGGCAGAATTCAATGTATGATTTAATTATAACTTCTATAGTCTCATTGATCTACAAAATGATATCCATTAAGGCTCCTTTTTCAATCTGATCTAAAGGATAAACTAATTCATACATTTGTTTGTCTCTACCCATTCTCCAGAGTGCTCCAGAGTTTGATTCACTCGACTTTGGATGTTCAACAAAGCTGACCTGAGAAGATACTACATGCGGAGAACCTGCTGTCAGAGCGGGAGGCAGACGTGATCACTGCTGCAAACATATTGAAATAAAAGTACCATCTCAAATGTTCATCCACTTTTATCCATTTTGACTCTCCACTAAACCTTGTTATGACTTTCTACCCCAGATCAAAAAAAAAAAAAGGTGACTTGGCCCGATGTTGCCGCCAATGCCACTCCCACCACCAATGTACCGAGTCGGGAGGAAGAATGTACGCTCAACAATCCTAGAGGCCAGAAAGTCATTCGATGACTTGCAGCCTGTAAGTATAGATGTGAAATATTAAGTATGTCTTAAACTGTAAACCACAGACAACGTGGCAAAGACTCAACACCATGCAGATGAACATCCTGCACACAGCGTTAGACTTCTGAGTATATCATGTTCTGAACAATAGGAAAGGTCACATTGTGTGTCTGCACATGGGGATCCCCGTGGCTGATGGTTACTGGTCCAACATGTTATAAGCATATTCTCTAACAGACAGGGGAGCCCCGTGGCTGATGGTTACTGGTCCAACATGTTATAAGCATATTCTCTAATAGACAGGGGATCCCTGTGGCTGATGGTTACTGGTCCAACATGTTATAAGCATATTCTCTAATAGACAGGGGAGCCCTGTGGCTGATGGTTACTGGTCCAACATGTTATAAGCATATTCTCTAACAGACAGGGGAGCCCTGTGGCTGATGGTTACTGGTCCAACATGTTATAAGCATATTCTCTAATAGACAGGGGAGCCCTGTGGCTGATGGTTACTGGTCCAACATGTTATAAGCATATTCTCTAACAGACAGGGGAGCCCTGTGGCTGATGGTTACTGGTCCAACATGTTATAAGCATATTCTCTAATAGACAGGGGAGCCCTGTGGCTGATGGTTACTGGTCCAACATGTTATAAGCATATTCTCTAATAGACAGGGGAGCCCTGTGGCTGATGGTTACTGGTCCAACATGTTATAAGCATATTCTCTAATAGACAGGGGATCCCTGTGGCTGATGGTTACTGGTCCAACATGTTATAAGCATATTCTCTAATAGAATGGGGAGCCCTGGTCCAACATGTTATAAGCATATTCTCTAATAGACAGGGGAGCCCTGTGGCTGATGGTTACTGGTCCAACATGTTATAAGCATATTCTCTAATAGACAGGGGAGCCCTGTGGCTGATGGTTACTGGTCCAACATGTTATAAGCATATTCTCTAACAGACAGGGGAGCCCTGTGGCTGATGGTTACTGGTCCAACATGTTATAAGCATATTCTCTAACAGACAGGGGAGCCCTGTGGCTGATGGTTACTGGTCCAACATGTTATAAGCATATTCTCTAATAGACAGGGGATCCCTGTGGCTGATGGTTACTGGTCCAACATGTTATAAGCATATTCTCTAATAGACAGGGGAGCCCTGTGGCTGATGGTTACTGGTCCAACATGTTATAAGCATATTCTCTAATAGACAGGGGATCCCTGTGGCTGATGGTTACTGGTCCAACATGTTATAAGCATATTCTCTAATAGAATGGGGAGCCCTGGTCCAACATGTTATAAGCATATTCTCTAATAGACAGGGGAGCCCTGTGGCTGATGGTTACTGGTCCAACATGTTATAAGCATTTTCTCTAATAGACAGGGGAGCCCTGTGGCTGATGGTTACTGGTCCAACATGTTATAAGCATATTCTCTAATAGACAGGGGAAGCCCTGTGGCTGATGGTTACTGGTCCAACATGTTATAAGCATATTCTCTAATAGACAGGGGAGCCCTGTGGCTGATGGTTACTGGTCCAACATGTTATAAGCATATTCTCTAATAGACAGGTCCAACATGTTATAAGCATATTCTCTAATAGACAGGGGGGCCCTGTGGCTGATGGTTACTGGTCCAACATGTTATAAGCATATTCTCTAATAGACAGGGGAGCCCTGTGGCTGATGGTTACTGGTCCAACATGTTATAAGCATATTCTCTAATAGACAGGGGAGCCCTGTGGCTGATGGTTACTGGTCCAACATGTTATAAGCATATTCTCTAACAGACAGGGGAGCCCTGTGGCTGATGGTTACTGGTCCAACATGTTATAAGCATATTCTCTAATAGACAGGGGAGCCCTGTGTCTGATGGTTACTGGTCCAACATGTTATAAGCATATTATCTAATAGACAGGGGAGCCCTGTGGCTGATGGTTACTGGTCCAACATGTTATAAGCATATTCTCTAACAGACAGGGGAGCCCTGTGTCTGATGGTTACTGGTCCAACATGTTATAAGCATATTCTCTAATAGACAGGGGAGCCCTGTGGCTGATGGTTACTGGTCCAACATGTTATAAGCATATTCTCTAATAGACAGGGGAGCCCTGTGTCTGATGGTTACTGGTCCAACATGTTATAAGCATATTCTCTAATAGACAGGGGAGCCCTGTGGCTGATGGTTACTGGTCCAACATGTTATAAGCATATTCTCTAATAGACAGGGGAGCCCTGTGGCTGATGGTTACTGGTCCAACATGTTATAAGCATATTCTCTAATAGACAGGGGAGCCCTGTGGCTGATGGTTACTGGTCCAACATGTTATAAGCATATTCTCTAATAGACAGGGGAGCCCTGTGGCTGATGGTTACTGGTCCAACATGTTATAAGCATATTCTCTAATAGACAGGGGAGCCCTGTGGCTGATGGTTACTGGTCCAACATGTTATAAGCATATTCTCTAATAGACAGGGGAGCCCTGTGGCTGATGGTTACTGGTCCAACATGTTATAAGCATATTCTCTAATAGACAGGGGATCCCTGTGTCTGATGGTTACTGGTCCAACATGTTATAAGCATATTCTCTAATAGACAGGGGAGCCCTGTGGCTGATGGTTACTGGTCCAACATGTTATAAGCATATTCTCTAATAGACAGGGGAGCCCTGTGGCTGATGGTTACTGGTCCAACATGTTATAAGCATATTCTCTAATAGACAGGGGATCCCTGTGTCTGATGGTTACTGGTCCAACATGTTATAAGCATATTCTCTAATAGACAGGGGAGCCCTGTGGCTGATGGTTACTGGTCCAACATGTTATAAGCATATTCTCTAATAGACAGGCCAGAACTGTCACGATCGTTTAAAGATTGGTCGAACCAAGGCGCAGCGTGATAAGCGTACATCTTTATTTAGTACTGAACACGAGCAAAAACAACAAACAAACTAAACGTGAAGTCCTAGGTTACACAAAACAAACCTTAACGGAACAAGATCCCACCCCGACTAGTGCCAAACAGGCTGCCTAAGTATGGCCCCAATCAGAGACAACGAGATACAGCTGCCTCTGATTGGGAACCACCCTGGTCAACATAGATCTAGACCATCTAGCACATCAACATAGAAAATACAACACAGAAACTACACACCCTGGCTCAACATTTCAGAGTCCCCAGAGCCAGGGTGTGACAAGAACCAACATTTTATAAGCATATTCTCTAAGACAGGTCCAACATTTTTATAAGCATATTCTCTAATAGACAGGTCAGAACCAACATTTTATAAGCATATTCTCTAATAGACAGGTCCAACATTTTATAAGCATATTCTCTAACAGACAGGTCCAACATTTTATAAGCATATTCTCTAACAGACAGGTCAGAACCAACATTTAGTCTTTATGTAAAGTTTCTACAGATAGCCAGTATTGGGGCTGTAATGTATTGGTATCCGACCTGGGTCAAATGCATCATATATTGGAACTGTGCTTGATTTGATTTGCCTGATACAATAAAATTGTAAATTAGCAAACCCCAAACTAAAATCAAGCTCACCCCAAGCACTTTAAAGTATTTGACATATGTACGGGCGGCAGGTAGCTTAGTGGTTAAGAGCGTTGTGCAAGTAACCGAAAGGTCGCTGGTTCTAATCCCCGAGCCTACTAGGTGAAAAATCTGTCTGTGGCCTTGAGCAAGGCACTTAACCCTAATTGTTCATGTAAGTTGCTCTGGATAAGAGTGTGGTTTAAAGTATTTGACATATGTATTTGACCCTGGTCTGGTGTGTATTTTCAATGTAGCCTTGACTACTAGACAGATAGACATGTAGCATATCAGACTGGTCCCAGGGTGAATTATGTACCATTTAATATACAGTCTGACATATTTAATTTCACTTCATCTCTAATGCCATGGCTCAGATTAATCTTGGCCACCCATTCAGTAGTCAAGTGACTTGACTCTGGGTGGTTAAGTCAAGTGTCAGATTTCACACAATGTCATGTGATGTTTTTAATAAAGTTATTTCCCTTTGATAATCTGAAGTTATTAAGTATAAATCATCTATCTGATCATATTGCAGTGAGCCAGAATACGTGCTGTGCTACATGCGTAGAGGAGAGGGATCTCAATTGCCATAGGTAGAAAACAAATAGTTCTAAAAGCAGTAGCTCTGTTTCAACGCTAGGGGGCGCTCACACGCCATGTCTACCAGCAGGAGAGAGAGACAGGACTCAGGAAGAAAGTTTACTGTGTTCTTGAACTCTGGTCTTGGAGAGCTACAGGCTTTAGCTCTAGCCCAGCACTAACCCACCCGATTTAACTAATTAATTACTCACCAAGACCTTGATTAGTAGAAGCAAGTGTGTTTGTGCTGGATGGGAACAAAAGCCTGCACACCCTGTAGAACCAAGATTAGAAGTGCATTGCCTTGTAGAAGTGAACTACACCACTAGGTTGATTCCCAAATGGCTAGGGAATAGGTTGCCGTTTGGGACACAACCCCTACACTCTCTGACAGAACAACAGTTGGAACAACAAGTTGTTGGTGATATGCTTCCCACAACTGTATAAGACGTCACTTGTTTTTGAAGAGATATTGTCAGTGTCTTGGCTGCAGAATTTTCAAACATCGTGGCATTTTTAATTCCTGTAAAATGTAGCTAATGTGGTATTATCAAATCCTTCCTGGCTAGCCTACCCAGCAAACCAAAATTGGTTCTGTGAAAGTTCCCAGAACAATGTTCTCATAACACAAACTAACCAGTCGTGCTGATTATAGAATGTTTG